TTTTTCTAAAGGGTCCCTAGGGAACCATAGGGGACGTTGGTGGTCGGGGGTTGCATTTTTGTCAATGGCGGTTCATTCCCTCTCCAAAAAGGTGGGTTAGAGGTGCCACGCCCACTTACGTTTCGCCCACCGTCCCTTTAACGAACGGCCATCAAGGAAAGTCAACCCGTATTTTCGATTTTTTTAATTTAGGAGTTATGTCGTTTTTCCAGCAAATATGTAATATATACATACAACCATACATATTTATCTAAATTTGCATCTAAAGTTTCTACTAGTCCAATACTAAAACCTAAAGCATAGAAAAATCTTACCGCGATCTTGAGCGCGATCGGGAACGACTGTAGCGACGGTAGTCTCGCCGCGGGCCTCCACCAGCCATGTTGCCACCATTGCGATGCCGGCGATTACCTGGGGATATGCTGCGTGAACCTATTTCATAAACATAACCATAATAGTTTAATTAGATAGCAAAATCAAGTAATGCATTTCAATACAAGTAATCTCCAATTAAATTAGCACATGATTCTTACGTCTATCCATATTCATTATGGCTGCTGCTAAAAATTTCCTCAATTAATTAGCGAGTTACAAAGCAAACGTGTGTGTATGTAGTGTAATATCAGTGGACTTTGGGAAAACTATCTAACACTTCCATTAAACCACACTCTTTATATTTCTTTTTTATTTTCAACGTTGCTTTTCTTTTTTAAGATATTAGTAACTATATTTCTATAATTAATAAAATAGAATTTATATAGAAACTCCCACGATGAAAAATGCAAATTAAGTCCACATCGATTTTTTACGTTTGACAGTACCTGTTCTAGCGAGTAGAGCTGCGACAAAGGCATCGATTTTTGTAAATAATCGATATTAGGACAACATGGATGTTTAGGTCGATAGGTCTGTTCGTTGAGTGCACTAAACGTTAAACCAGTGCATTTCAGAACAATATCCGACATTTAGCGTGAGAAAATACATACGATTAGTGCAAGAAAAAACCCTAATTGGACGCTTTTTCCTGCACTAGAGTACTCTAGAGCGTCCATCGAACAGACCTCGAGTGCATTTCTGTAAGAAATCGACTAAATTCTCGATCGAGAAAGCGGCTAAATTACACATGAAATCCATGAACCAAAAATTCAAAAACACGCAAAAACGCGACGTTGTTTTTTGTAGCTAGTTTTAAGAAAGAAGTTTGTTAAAGCGGGTGCGTCAGCTGAGTATTTGTTACCAAAGAACGTTCTTTGGCCTTACCGAGTATTTTAACTGCATGACCAACGTACCTAGAATCATGGTGACAAGAACTGGGGCTGGATTCTGTAACTGTGAGAAAATGTTGTGTACATCGAGTGCAAAATTTAAAGCAAATATTAACTTTTCCACTAATTTTTCCCCATAAAATGTAAACAAACAATGCGTGCGCAACGATTAGCCGTACCCAAAGAACGTGAATCCATAAGAAGAGACAACACGTTATAATTGTAACGAGTGGAAACATCAGGAGCGTGCTTTCTCTTTTGCCCAAATACGTTTTTTGATTGGATGAAAAGAGAAGGCACGCTCCTGATGTTCACACTCGCTACAATTATAACGTGTTGTCTCCTCTTAGGTCGGTGTTATGCAGAAATTTTGTTTGGCAAACTGCGTGCAATTGTTGTTGCAGCAAACTCGGAGAGAGCGAGTTTGGCGACTCTCACAGCAAACTAATTTTGTTTGGTCAAACTGCAGCAAATTCGGTGTTGTCATATACAAAAATTTTAAATTTTGCGCGTTATGTACATCTGAAATTCTCATTTCGTGTTGGCAATAGCCATGAAAACCATAATGAACGTGCAACCCTGTGCCAAACTCGACATAACCACCTCCGAGCAAACTAAGCAGCCGCCATTTAATTTGGCAAACAAAAGTTTGTCTGCATAACACCGACCTTATAGATTTACGTCCTTTGGCCGTACTTATCCGTTTCTGCATCTTCTACGATTTGCCGATAACAAAGAACGTATATCTATAAGAGGAGACAACACGTTATAATTGTAGCGAGTGTGAACATCAGGAGCGTGCCTTCTCTTTTCATCCAATCACAAAACGTATTTGGGCAAAAGAGAAAGCACGCTCCTGATGTTTCCACTCGTTACAATTATAACGTGTTGTCTCTTCTTATAGATTCACGTTCTTTGCTGCTTAGTTTGCTCGGAGGTGGTTATGTCGAGTTTGGCACAGGGTTGCACGTTCGTTATGGTTTTCATGGCTATTGCCAACACGAAATGAGAAATTCAGATGTATTATATAACGTGCAAAATTAATATATTTTTTATGATATCGTATAGGCAATTAACTGTACCCTAATCTTTGAAGCTCCTACAGCATAAATTCAGTTATCTGGCATTCGGTATCACGGCAATGTTTGTGTATAGCAACAATTGTCTAACATTTTTGTATATGACAATACCGAGTGTGCTGCAGTTTGACCAAACAAAATTAGTTTGCTATGTCGCGCTAGTCGCGCTCTCCGCGTTTACTGCAACAATTGCACGCAGTTTGCCAAACAAAATTTCTGCATAACACCGACCTTAAATGTTCTATGTGGCAACTCATGGTGGCAACTCAACTATTTTTTTGTTGATTTGATGTCACTTTTGGGGGATTTTCTTTCTTTTCAAGCAAGCTACATTTTACAATAGGAGCGTGTGTTTATTATTAAATGTATATTTATTATTATAATTACGAAGAAATCAGTTGTGCTGATATAATTATTTAGAAAAAACGCTCAAGTAATCAAATACCCATTTAGGAATAACATGCCTGCTTGACATTGCTTGGTGTTGGTTATTGATAAAAGGTATTTCCCCCAAATAAGAAAAAGTGACCATTGAACCACAAGTACTTGTATATTCCAGAGTTTTTTAGGTTTTCATTCGCTGTTCGAACCTCAATTAGATCACAAATTTAATAATTATGAAAAAGGTCATATTGACAAAAAGCAATACCAAACAATCTCCGTGTACGCTGAAGGTAGCCAGCCCTGATAACACTAAATCTAAATTAGCATATGCCGAGTTATTTCGTGCTGTATTACAAATACCCGAAAAAGATGTACAACACCGTATTTTGGATGCAGTCAATGGATGGTCCTCCACCGAACAGATAGTACACGCCTTGTGCCCAAACTGTAAACAGACGTTTGGTAATTCAATTAATAACCGCAAGGAAGTAGCCATACAAACAGATTTAAATGGATCAAATCCAGCTATCAATTTAATAACGCTTGAATCTACGCAAAGTGAAATGAATTCAAATGCAAATAGTGATGATAGTCGTGATCGCAGCTCGCCAGCGTTGCAAAAATCTATAATCTCATCAACAATGACCCCGAATACAGCATCAGCACAAGTGAATTCAAATCAACAACATAAAACATCAGAATATCAGTCACAACAACTGAATATGCCAAATGGCCCTGCGGGTACGCTTACTGTGCCATTGAAAAGAAAGCGGAAGCGAAAAGTGTGTCTGCCACAAGTGGTAAAACGATCCCACGCACAAATGGCACAGGCCCAACTGCAACCTAAGCTAAAATCGAGAAAAATGGAAAAGGTATATTTGAGTTAATGAAATGAATACATATTTGTTAGCGTAACTTTTAAATGTATTACAGCTAAATAATCCAGACATAGACAGTATCGAGTCTGATGATTTAGATGTATTAAGTATATTTAATCGACGGGACTCGATCGGAACCATTGCATCAGATTTTTTATTGGAATTGCTGGATATGCCAATTGAGCATACATCGAGGGAAGATCATATTATGCGTCTAATGGCAGAGGAATATCTTAATGCAGATAAGCGAACAGATGGATTGCTGTAAGAATAAATTTTTTAGTAAATTCGTTCTAAGTAAAACTTAACATTTGTCTTTAAAGCGCTATACACCGCACCATTGTTGCAAATGACTTGTATGCATTGCGTAGACAAATCTTCGTTTGGAAAAAACTTAGACAAGAAGAGGACTTAAATGGCCTGCTGACCGATGAGGATGAGGTAAATTTGAATGCGTGCATATGTACATATCGTCGTTTAAACGTACAAAATCGCGTATCGTCATTCTGCAAAACCGCGTAACTGACATTTGCTGACAAAAATTGGATTCGTCCTGAAATATACTAGTCACAAATGAGACTGCTTTATAAAAAAGATAACCATTTCAAAATATGAGTGATTTTACTCTCATTTTACGCGCTTTTGCATTTTGTTGATACGCGGTTTTGTACTTCAAACGATGGTATGTATATATAAATAATCAAAATTAAAACATTTACCAACAGAGCTGCTTGAAATTGGCAATTTCCCAGGATTGTTTCCCAAAGATAATCGATGTTCTACTTAAGGAAGACTTAAATGTCAACGAAATCGATAATTTCTCCAATACCTGTGTTCATCTTGCAATACTTAATGAAATTGAATTGAACTCTTTGCGCTTACTTATGCAAAAAATAGACCTAAAACTATTATTGCATCTAAATGATGATGGTTATACACCACTTCATCTGGCTGTGCGAACCAATAGTTACTTGAGTGCAGAAATAATTTTAAATACACTAGACGAACGTCTTAGAACGAAACCTTTATTCGTTCGAGATATACGAACGGCATCTACTGAAGCTGATTTTAATAAATATTATGAAGAGATATGTAGAAATCTAGCGCAAAAATATGGTAATTTAACAAAAAATATACAGCCAAAATTAAAGAAGGCATTTTTGGAGACAGGTGATCGAAAAAGTGGAAATACAGCTCTATTTTTCGCAATTGAAAATAAGTTAGGTAAGTGAAAAAATTTTAGGTACACTTGCACAATTTATCTAATGTAATAAATTTTTTTTAAAGAGCATTTCATATTCTTTCTGCTGGCGCATCTTATTGATCCGCGTGTTTCAAATTTTTGTGGACAGGATGCAAAGTCTTATTATTCCGAATTCGGCAAGACACTTCAATTGAGTTTAAAAGTCGATAGTGCAATGGAAAATGTATTGACCTTACTTTGCTAATATGCACTAAAAAATATTAATACATATAAGATTAATCGGAAAATATTTATATGTTTAGGATATAAAAAACTATGATTATTGTCTTACATACTTACACATGCACATACAATATAAAAGAATAAATCTAGATTTATTTATATTGAATCTTTCCGAAATTTTTTTACCCCCATTCAATGTCCAGATAAGCTTTATTCATTAGATTGAAGTTAATGGGTTGTAATGACTCTGGCAGACGTTTGATCCTGCGTCTGCTCTTTTTATTATTAGCCCGGACATTGGGCCTTTGCCAAGGAAATTGTACTATATTTTCCGATCCCTTTGTGGATTTACTAGAGAATTTTCGTTTTCTAGTTTTTTCTGCACGCTCAGCTAAAAGAAAAAAAATAAATTACAAATTTCCTTCACTGCGTTATGCTACGATAGAAACCTATTTTCTGTAAGTGCTGTAGCTGATCTTCGTTGAAATGGGATGAATTGCACATTAGATCGAATTTGCAATACATGCCATTTAAAAAGCGAAAGCAAGGCTGCTTGTTCCGCTCCTCCTCAAGCACTTTCCTTGACTCTATGAGAAAGCAGAAGATAAATTTAATATTTCCAGGGAATCACTCCTTTTGATCGCACTTTTGTATATACCTTCGAATCGCCGCATATAGCGGACTTTGGCCATTTTATGAGATAAACCAGAATTGTGTGTTTTACGCACATTAACATCATTTTTGAGAAAACAGCAACAGTAATCGCAATAGTAACTTTTACCACCCATTTAGTTGCATGTAATTGACGATTTTTCTCGTGTAAAATTTTTTAAACGAATTTGGCAAGGCGAATTGATACAAATAAATAAATTCTATAATTGTACAAATTCGCCTTGAAATTTGTTTTCCTATATGCCATAAACAGCTGATCAAGGCGAATTTATACAAGGTGGCAAGGCGAGTTTATACAATGACCAAAAAGACAAGACAACGTGTGTACACATAAGATAAAGAATAATTTAACACAACGGCATGATTTTTAGAAGAATGTGCATAATAAAAATGATTTTTCATGCGTTCAACAATTTCGCGGTTTTCTCCGTTCTCTTCGTTGTTTACTTCTTACAACAAAGATGGCGTCGAGATTTCGGCAGCTAGAAAATAACTTTTTTCGTTCTTTCCTTCCCGCGTGATCTTCTGTCTTTCGTTCATGAGTTTATACAAGGTGGTGTTGATGGCGAATTAAATTTTCGTCGCGGTACTACTTAATGTCAAAATGATGTGTTTGTGTAAACAAGACGAATTCATTTTACAACAAACACATCATTTTGACTTTAAGACGTACCTCGGCGAAAATCTTAATTCGCCATCAACACCACCTTGTATAAATTCGCCTTGCAAGGTGGTGTACAAGACGAATTTAGAATTTCGCCGCGGTACTTCCTAATGTCAAAATGGTGTATTTGTTGTAAACAAAGCGAATTCATACTACAACAAACACATCATTTTGACGTTAAGAAGTACCGCGGCGAAAATCTAAATTCGCCATCAACACCACCTTGTATAAATTCGCATTGGTATGGATCTTAACTCTAAACGTCTGGCAGCCCAGATGTTTGTTTTTCCCGTCATCTTATTGAAAAAAAAAACGCAAATTGATTAACAGTCCAAGAATATCATTCAATGCGTGTAATTTAAAAGAAATTTTGTATCTAGTGTTTAAATGACGAGCAAAAGTCCTGAAAACAGTGGACAATCCTTGCCTTCTGGTGCAACAAATGCAAATGCAAACGTTGCAATGGACGAGCATTCAGATGGTATTGCTGTGTTACCTCCTGTAAATTTCGAAAGTGATCGCTTCCCTTACTGCATTGTTTGGACACCCATACCAGTGCTTACCTGGTTCTTTCCAATGATTGGTCATATGGGAATCTGCACATCTATTGGCGTTATACGTGATTTTGCTGGACCTTACTATGTTTCGGAAGATAGCATGGGTTTTGGAAGACCAACTAGATATCTACGCCTGCATCCGAAAAACGTTGTTGGCGGCAGTGTTGAATGGGATGAAGCAGTAGCTAAAGCTTCTGTACTTTACGGAACACGTATGCATAATCTCTTTTGCGATAATTGTCACTCGCATGTTGCTACAGCACTAATAGCAATGCGTTATAAGAGACGCACAAGTTGGAATATGGTTATCTTGGCATTTTGGATGTTCTTTTGTGGCAGATATGTAGGATTCTTTGGATTTGTAAAAACATGGCTGCCTTTTGTTATTGTGGTGTCATTGTGTGTGTTCCTGGGTATTTATCTATAAGTGGGCTACTTGACGACCCTTTATAATTATGTAACTATGATAGATAATTTAAGTAAAAATAATTTTGAATGAATCTTTAATTGTGTAGCTAATAATTAATGCAATAAAATAGTAGAAAATTAATTTAAAAAATTGTTCATTTATTTGGTCATAGGTATTCCGCGCCGTTTGATTTTTGTAGCTTTTAATCTATAAATTTGATAAGAGGAAAACACTTCAACCAGGTGTTAATTTGATGCTTATCTACAAGCACGCTGATGTGGTAATACCAAGACACTTGTAGACTTGCAACACCATGATTGTTTTATTGAACTCCAAAAACATTAAAATACCATTAACTGCGATATATGGCCACCGGTTCATTCGCATGTCGCGCTAACCCCTTTTAATTTTGGCAAATATACAGTATCGGTCATATCTATAGCACGCCATTTCAAAGTGATATTGTGTGGCACTTATGTTTATTTATTTATTTTTAAGAATTTTCAATTAAAATACAGTTCTTTCTCTAACAAACCCCATATAATCCCAAGTTTAACAATTTGTAGAAAACTTCAAAAAAGTGCAACAAATTTTCACCTAAGTTTCAAACTTTTTTCTCGGAAGTGTTAGAATTTTTTCGAGTACAGTTTTTAGCCGCTGCAATTTTAGTGTGATAATGTGTAAATTTCAAGTGGCTACGAATTACCGTTAATTTTTTAGTTTTTTTTTGTCGCATTGGCTTTCATATAACGAATAAACGCAATTTATTTGTATATGGATGAAAACCGCAACACCTTTGGAGAAAAAAATTCTATAACTTTCAGTCACTTGAAACTTGCACATTATCAGACCAAAATTGATTGGGCTATAAAACCGTGTATTCAGAAAAATTCAAACCCTTCTGAAAAGAAAGTTTGAAGTTTAGGTGAAAATTTGTTGCCCTTTTTTGAGGTTTTCTACAAATTGTTAAACTTGGGTTTATATGGGGTTTGTTAGAGAAAGAACTGTATTTTAATTGAAAATTCTCAAAAATAAATAACTAAACATAAGTTGCACAACAATATCACTTTGAAATGGCGTGCTATAGATATGGCCGATACTGTATGTATGCATACAACTTTTTATCTACTGAATTCAATTTATTTCATATTCGTATAAAAGAAAAAATAAATACAACAAAACTGGTATGAGTAATTTATTCGCCTAAAGCTTTATTCACTTCGGGTGCAAGTTCAAGTAATTTTTTCCACTGATGTATGTGCAGCGATATGCCCTTTTTACCCGGCAGAATTTCGCCATTTTTCTCATAAAATTCTCTTATGTCCACCATTTTGCGACCCTTGAACTCGTTTATGCGCACCTGGCGTAATTTCTCAATAGTCCATGGACCCTTGGGATTATCTGTAGCAGTACCGCCGCTACTACTACTGGATTCATTGGCGCCTTTCTCCTTGCCGGCTTTTGATTTCTTCGCTGGCGGTGCGTTTCTCTGCAATAAATAAGTTGGTGAATAAGTGAAAATTTATAAAAACTTTTTAATTGCTTACATCCTCCGGACCGGAATCACTGTCACTATCAGAAGAACTTGAAGTTTTCTTGTTTTTGGGCATTCTAACAAACTTTTATTAGATTACGCGATCCCAGATAAATTTATAAACTCGATCAAGCTGACTGGCGGGAGAAATTTGGCACTAGGGATACAACGAAGCATCGATTTTTTTGAAACATCGATAATATCGGGTAAAAATTCGATGTTTGCCATCGATATATGCAATTTTCGGAACAAGCAAATATAAAATAAATTTTTAGCAATAAAAAAAATTCGGCTTTATACAATTGCAGACAAATTTTTGGTAAGTGGTTATAGTACGGTATATATACATGAGTTTTTGAAAGGGGGCGTGGCACATCCACAGGCGTGAAATTTTGTATCAGCAACAATTTCGCAACCATAAAGCGAAGTGCACAGAGCCAAAAATCACAACAATAGTTATGTTTGTTTACAAATTATAGTAATAATTTGCAAGTTTCATCAACAGCTGATAAATTGGTTGTTTATTCGCAGTGAATTCCTAATGAAACAATGGCCCATAGTCATAGTCGCAAGTTAAAACTCATTCTTGTTAAAATACAGTTTTAAGTTTAGAATAGGCCTTTAAGTTGTGTTAAACATAGACATCTTAGAAGCATGATTCAATAACTACAGGTTGTAGCAATCGTACCTAACCAACATTTAATGTTGGTATGAACTCCTTGTGTCATCAACATCTTCTTTATGTATTCGTATTCGTATGTATATGTATACCCTGCATACCAGGATTTCATAGAAATCTGAAAGGTTTCACAACTTTTTTAGAGAATTTTCTCTAAGAAATCGTACAAAAATTTCTTTACTAGTTGTTGTTGTTGTTGTAGCGGCTACAACAACCCCGCCCAGGACGGTTGGTATCTCAGTCGTTGTCGTCAAGTTCCACTAACGGCAACCCTAGGAAGCGTGCAGCTTCTGTGGGGTTGGTCCACAGGGACAAGGCCGTTAGGGTTGTCGGGTTTTCCGGGCATGCGAAGAAATGTTTCGAGTCATGTGGGGTCTCTCCGCATGCCGGATACTCATTCGGCACATCCTCATTCAATCTACTCAGGTAGGAGTTTAACCTGCTGCAGTAGCCGGAGCGAAGTTGTGCTAGTGTTGTGCGAGTCTCCCGAGGCAGATGAAGCTCCGTCTCGTCTGTGTCCGGGGGTTGTATGCCTAGAACGGCATTCACAGGTCTGAAGTCTACATAACTCGAGACTGACTCCCTGTGAATGCCGTTCAGGGCCTTTCGGTAAGCTGTCGGGCCCAGAGGTTGCTTGATGAACCTCTTGACTTCGTCCGTCAGTTCATATAGATGGCCCCTGACGTGCCTAGGCGAGGGCTCCTCTACAAGCAGCTGTCTGCTTGGG